TGCGTTTCACCCATCGCACATCCTGAATTGACTCCACTTCAAACACACCGTTTGAGCTGTCAGGCTCCCAGCTGTCTTCGGGCAATAGTGCCGCATCGAAATCGTCATCATCTGCGACATCAGCCTCAACTGTTGGTCTCTTTGGGAAGACTACTCTTGGCTTGAGTCGGCTAATGTGTACCCAAGGGTTGACTCGATACCCTGCATCTCTCACTTTTAGTTTCACACGGAAGTCATCCCGAATTTCATCGATCCTGAATGGCCCGTGCCACATGTGTGCTAACTTCCGGCTCAATCCAGTCTGAACTTTCGGGATGTACAACCAAACAGAGTCACCCTTCTTAAAACCAGCTTTGACCCTATCTGAGAGTTCCAACCACTTCCGGGTTTGCGAACGCATCTTCTTAGCCTTTTTCTGGAGATCCTCGGCACAAGCGAGTGCGTAGCTGTACTCACGCTGTAGTTTCCGTCACCACTCATAGGCGCTACGCTCAAGAACGCTCGAAGGTTTCGGTCCTAACATTGCCGAGACTGTACTTCGGGCATCCCAACCATGAACCAAATAGAAAGGAGTGTCCAGTCTAGTCGCGTCGAACGAGACATTCAGGGCGAACATCAGTCGCTCGGCGTGGTCATCCCAGTCGGATTGATCCATTTCAGCGACATATGCCCGAACACTCCGAATGACTGTTTGCACGGATCTTTCCTGCTGCCCATTTGCTTGCGGACGATACCCGAGTGTAGCACATTGTCGGCTACCCAAGAGTTCTCGGAACCTTGTGAACACTTCACTCATGAAACGCGGATCCTGATCGTGCCGTATCATGGAAGACGCCCCGAATCTCCGAAACACTTGCTCCTCATAAGCCTCAACGACGTCTTGAGCGGTAGTAGACAACATGGGTTTGCACATCACATAGCCCGAAAACATGTCCTGAAACAACAAGAGAAAAGTGTTCCCCCTGGCTGACTCAGGCATATGAGTCACGAAATCCATAGAGACCGCTTCAAAAGGGTACCGCGGTTCAATGTTCCCTGGTGAAGGTCCAGCATTCGGGGGCGCCCCTTTTCCACTGGCACAATCCACGCATTCTTTCACAAAATGTTGGACGTCCGCATACATGCCGGGCCAGTCGAACTCGGTACG